TTATCAGAGATCTTGATTAATTGTGTTTGTAATTACATTCAATTACAAGTAATTGATTAGATAGTAGTAATTATACGTTAACAATTGGAGATGTTGTCGATTCCTGTAAATGACACCAAACTCTGGATTAGGCTGTAGAAAACAATGGGGCATTTAAGAACTTCAAACTGTAGCAATTAGGATCACTGGAAAATCAGGCTCTAAATGAGTCAATTATTTTATACCTTTTCTGAATCTAATGCATGTGGTATTATCCCGTTTTTCTTTTATTTTAATTAATAAGATACTTAAAAAAGTGCTGTGGACGAAGACATCTGTGAACAAAATGGTTCTAAGCTATTAACAATTTAACAAATTTGCTCTAAACAATTTTGTGAAATAGCTACATTCGATAAAACTAATTTATGAATTGAAAATACGTTACTTTTGAAATTTTACTACAATTGCACAGAAAAATAAGGGTATTTTCACTTCTACTATGCTCTCAACCATTTTATCTAAAATAAAAAAAAGTTCAATACATTATTCATAAAAAAATGGGGTCACCCACTTCGAAGGAACTTGGTCACTCAAACTAACCTTCAGTAATGACAAAAAGAAAAACTGTTCCTGTCATGTTCTTATTTTATTATTTAATTCCGGCATTTGTCATGTTATCGCAAGTTGCAACCAAAAAAAATGATAAGCACCTTATCATTTAAACTATTTAGACTGATATTTTATAAATTGCCCGCATAAATCAATAGCCTAACAAAATGACTTTTGTTTAAAATATAATTATAGCAATCATAAAATATAAATTTTAATATTTTTATTTAACAAAAACAAATTTTACAAAACAAATAGCGTAATAGCTTTCTTTTATTAAACTATGAACGTACTTACACTATTTCAACAGAAATTTGTTCATAAATTGATAAATATAGTAAGGTAATATAGTAAGATAAATATAGTAAGATGATATAGTAAGATAAATATAGTGAGATAAATAAGTGTAAATTTAATTACTTTTGAAGTTCGTAACTTGCAATCCTCGTTTCTGAAAGAACGAGTCAAAATTAGAGAGTAGAAGTGTTTATAAAAAAGACACTACTTTTACTGCAGACGCTATTACTGGATTTAGAAACAGGATAAAAGTTCATTTCATTTTTTTAAAAGTATTACTAGAATCAACTACTCTTAAGTGCTCAACATTCAGTTTTCGGAACGGAAACTGTTGTGTTTATACTCTGGAAGCTTTAATAGTTTCGCAATAAATCGTACTGAGGAACAATGAAAGAAATAAAGCTTAACAAAAAATTAATAAACTTGTAATCGACTTTATAATCTGGGAAGCTCTGAAAGCCAGGAAACTAATTCATAAAGAACTGAAACATTCGTAACAAAGATATATTTCATCGCTTTTTTTTTTTTTGTTCTTTCAAAAATGCTGGTAAAAAAGAAAACATAACTTTTTAAAATTCGATGAACTTCTTAGTTGGTGCGTTATTTAATAAATAAATAACTTCTATAACAAAATTTTAGTACATTTTTAACATTTCCTCAATTAAGTGATAGAAGAAATTTTTATATGATTATTTTATTGAATACAACGCAACACTATACAGAATTACTTATTTTGGGAATCAGATTTAAGTTTCAAAAATGTATTTAGGATTTTCGAACTGTAAACTAAAAAAAAAAAGGTTTAGAATCTTGAAAGCATTTTCACGAATAAATATTTTTTTAATAACTCATGAATAAATACTTTAGATTCAATAACGGAGCATCAATTTCATAAGTGACATTTTTTTAAAGATTTCAAAAATACTTAATTTGAGATCAATAAGCATAAATAATCAGAAACAAAACTCATCAATATCAATAATTCAAATGAAATACTTTTAAACATAGAAAAAAGTCTTTTAATTACACAGAATTAAAATCTTTGAAAAAATCAGTGATTTTTATAAGAAACTGAAAAATAAGGGACCAGTATGCAAAGAATGGGTGATATATTATTTGTTCTCTGACCAATTTTAAGTTGACGCTACCTACATTTCTCAATACCTTTTCCTTCATTTCTTTTTTACTTTTTTTTAAATTACTAATTCAATTCCACCTTGCCATAATGAGAAGCATTGACTCAATATTAAGCGCATGAAAACTTTTTAATAGCCGATTCTATTTCTTATTAAGAGAAATAATTACAATTGATATAAGTTTCAAATTTAATCCACTTCAATTTCAATAACGAAGCATTAAGAAAAAAAACCACACATTTTAAAAGAAGATTTTTTTTTAATCACGCACTAAATGTCCTTTTTACCGAAATAATCGAAACACATTGCTTTATCCATTTATTTCAAATTATTTTTAAAAGCAGAGGAAAAGTTTTTCAAACACCCAATAAAATCTCGTAAAAAATTTCACTGTTTTTTTTTATAATTGGAAACTAAAAAAATGGTGAAATCTTTGGCAGACAGATAATTCTTTCTTTGATCAATTTCAAGTTGATGCAGCCAACATTTTTCATTTTTTTTTTCTTTCATTTCATTTTTTTTTTTCTTAATGGTGAAATTATTAATTCGATTCCACCTTGCTGTAATGAGACGCTTCAACTCGTATTTAAGTGCTAGAAAACATATCTTGCAGTCGATCATTCCTCCCAAAACAAAATTTGGAGCATTTGCATCGTGAGGTAAATTAATGGAGTAATGGCGATTTTTCTTTTCCAAACCTCAAGTTCTTCAATGCCCATATCTTCTCCCAATAATCCATTAAAGTAAAAACTTCTTAGAAACTTCTTTTCGGGTTTTTTTTTCTCTCTTTTTGAGCCATGTCATTTGATTCAACTACATTTTTTTTTTAATTTTCTGCGTTTAAAAATATTGCCGTCTAAGTTTATTTTTCCGTATTATTTCTTTTGCCCATAAATGTGTGTTCTTTTGACATACAGTTTTTTTTCTTTTTAAACTTGCTTTTTTTTTCTTTTGAAATTTTTATAGGTTGAATGGTATATTTAGTGTGATTTTTAGTGAATAAGATTTTATTTATAGTTATTTATAATCATGTAATTGTTGATTTAGGTAAAATATTGAAAAAATTTAATTTTATAAACGAGTGAAAAATTATTGTTTAATATACTTTATACGTTATCACAATCAACAAAAAGTCGTATAGATATGTACCGTGTGATTTAGCACACATGTGTATATCTTCTACATGTCACATATTTTATTGATTTTATTACATTTGAGTACCAGACCACAATACTGACTCATACTGCATCTGTGAATATAAAACATAACATGACAAACATAACAATAAACAAACATGACATAACGTTATTATTTTATTTTATTTTTATTTTTATTTCATAACCGTCGTTGAACAGCCGACCCAATTTTGAGGTTACGACTACCAATGTTCAATTCCGTAACCTTGTAATTTTGAAGGCAATCCGAAAGACAAGGGATCTCCTGAATCAAGTATTGGGAGAAATTTTGCCTTCATGTAAGAATTTTGTATAGAATTAACCAGCATTTGCGTTACATAGAGTGGAAAACCACGATTCCCACCCACGTTTAGCCTAATGGCAAGGGGGTTCTAACCCATGAACCGTCTTCAACTGAGGATATTTTACATCAGCACTGTGGTCGGTGCGATCCGGGTGCGGCCATCAACCAGCCATCGCTGAGATTCAATCCGGTTCACCTCATTTGAAGGCAAACGCTCTATCCTCTGAGCCACCACGACTCCTATGATAGTAATTGTCATATATTCATAGCAAAGGCAGTGTAGTTCAATCATAAACTAAAGATAAACTCAGTGACGTGGCAGCCATGGTGAACCAATGACTACTGTCTCTATCCCAGTGTTCATGGCCTTAGGCACTGGGGTGTAGAAGCAGACGTCTTTTTTGGGTAGTCAGCAAAATACGGAGTGTTTAATCCTCATTTTATTGATCCCACTGAAAGGATGAAACACTGGGTAAATCTTGCCCGGTCTGAGGACAGAACCCCGATCCTGTGGCATGGAAACATGAAACGCCACTACTCAGAAGCCGGGCATCATGAATCAATACAGAGGTTATACGCTCTTAGAGGGCTGGCCTCCATCATAAGGACTGAGAATAGCATAGCTACCTATGCTCGGAAATGTCAATGTGTGCCGCTAGGGGGGCTTCTCCTTGATGGATTGACTGCTCGTACACATTTATCTGGTAATTTTTGTTATTTACACTATCGTAATTTTATTTTTTACAAAAACATATTGTAAGCAATCGCATTAGATTTGGCTTATCTGCATCGGTTTTTATCGTATTTTAAAGGAAGTAAATTAAGATAAACTGTCAAATCTGGAAATTAAGATAAAACAGCTATTTCTGAACCTGTTTGTATGCAGTTTCAGAGAAATATTAGAAAACAGGAACTTAAAATAAATTTAGATAGAATTACTCATCCGGCTATGGGCTGCTATGGAATTTCTAATCCTACCTCAAAGTTGGTCAACGCTGAATCCCTCTATATAATTAAACTCATAAAACTCGGAATATTATAAACTAGATTTTGTATTAAACTTGTTTCCTAAAAACTGTTAACAAGATAGAAAAAAAAAATAATTAAAGAAACGATTCAGATAAAAGCAAGGTTTTTACGTTTGAAAAGAAAAAAATTAATGTTTCAGATAACCATCGCTTATCAGGAAGAGTAACAGCATTAAAATTTTAGTTTCACTTATCTTGAAGTCAAGAAAAAAAGAAAGTGACATCATAAAAATACACACTGCCGGTACTTTTTCAACCAAATCTTTGCAAACGCAACACTCCCATGCAAATAAAAGTTGAAATAGAGAAGAGAATACATCCTTTAACCTAAAGAAAAGAAATAAAAAAGAAGGCAATTAAACCACACAAAAAAAACGAAAGTAAAAATTCTATGTTCTTAATACCGAGTGACACATTAAATGAACGTGGCACGAAATAAACGTTTTGTTCTTAATCTGTGTGTATTTGTTACAGGAAATAAACTTTTTTGCTGCCTTACCGAGAGAATGTAGTCTATATTGGAATGAACTGTGTGACTTAGAAGAATGTAATTCCACTAAACGTAAGTAAAACAAATGTTTCTTGTAATTCTTTCTGGGGCTATAAATACTTCCTTATAGAAAGGTTTCATTTAAAAGAAAAAATAAGTATAGCTATAACTTAATCTTAATTCAGAATAGTTATAGTACATATGACCTTTTGATTGCGAGCACATAAATTTAACATAAATCAGTAGAATATTTATGCAGACAATATTTTATATTGCATAGATGTTTAACAATCTGCTAATCATAAAATTTGCATTTTCCATTTGACATAAAATATATATATAATCAAAAATACTCATTAAATACGTCAGAGTGTGTTATAGCGAATTTTTTCTATTAATATAACGGTATATATTGATTAATATATGAGCAACTTTTACTCAGTGGTTAAAGTACTGATCTTTCATAGTGAAAACCGGGGTTCTATCTTCGGTGTTGGCTTGAAGCCCACTCATCTTTCTATCGATTGGTACCAGCTTGTCTGAGAAGTAAAGTCAGTTGGTACGCAATGCTGACCGTATTGACATCGCCATGTTGTTGGTCTCTAAATTGTGTACACTTAACCATTATGGCCCCCTGATCTACAAACTGAATCTTCAGGACGTGCTCTTACTATTATTGGTTAATGTACTGTTAATATTTATGATTATACTATTCTCATCAACAAAGATAAAACATATTAACCCTTGGATGCAGATTGGGGACTGGTATCCCTATTATTGCTGGTATCCTGACGCTTTTCTGACAATCTAATGACAAGTAAAAATATACTCTGGTATTTTTTAATTATAAAAAGCAGTGTCATATTTAACAAGAAATCTGTTAAATTATCTGAATTATATTAGTACTTAAATATTATTATTTCCCATGCCCCACCTGTGTTAACATTTTGTCAATTTAGACATTTTACATGGCAAATTTATTGGCCACTCTTTCAAGGGTACCATATTAGGTGGGCCAACGTTACTCCCACATTAAGAACAGATAGTACAGGGAATGAAAGAACATCCATACCTTGCCCGTGATTCGAATCCAGAACCTTTCCGATGCAAGGCCCAGTTCCTTGACACAGGCCGGTCGCCTAGTACTAAAATATAAAATATAAGAGATAGTTCGAAGCTTTTCTTTTTATTCATATTCAAAAATTTATCAATGATTAATTTTGTAAATTAAAGAAGTTTCACTAACGAATTACTGCTTCTCTTAGATATAAAAAAACTGCAAATAAGTGCAAATTTGAAAAATTATTTTCTGTCAGGAAAGAGTTAAACCATATTTGCCAAGCGAAATATATGTCTCTATTTGCACCATCAATCTATCTCTATTTCAAAACCATAAATTATTAAAATTCGAAATACAATATTTTTCACTTATTTTGATCCAAATTATTAGATATTAAAGGGGGAAAAAGTTTGAAAAATATGTTTAATAAAACTTTTGCGTCAAAGAGTTCAAAACAATGACATTAATTAATGAACACTCCCTAATGTTGGGTTCATTTTTATGCCAGTTCATTGAGTCTTTCATACACTAATTGACTTATTCATAGATTAACTAATTGATCATTAATTCTCCTATTTATGATTGATTAATTCTCCTCTAATCTAGCTCCTTTCTTCTTCAGGTTCATTTATTTACTCAATTTCGAATTTGACAAGCTAATTTCCTTTCTTTGTATTGAAATGAATATATTCCATAAACGTTTCGTGAGTAAAATATTTTTTGATTTAAAAATGGAAATCTTTCATTACTTAAAAGCTGATCAACAGCAAATTTGGTTTATCAAATCTGTCATAATTTACTTACAATTTATAATTCAAAGTTTGACACCTTTTAATTCACTGTCTTTATAATTCAAAAATATTGATCCATGCATAAAGGAGGATCTTTGACAATTCACAGATTTTTACCATAGCTTTTCATGTATTCACAGATCAGTCTATTCATTATACACTGATTCTCCCATTTATGATTCATTGATCAGTCTACTCATAAATTCACTTTCTTTCCTCCTTCTATTTATTTGCACATTTTCGAGATTTTATGTAAATATTTTATAGTACATAGATTAAAAAACCAAAACTGCCATGCTGTAACTGAATAATTTTAAGAATTTCTTCATTTTTTATGAGATATGTCACTGCGTCCTTTGTCGGTGGCGCATCGCATAGAAATTATAGAGAATGACCAACACACAGTTATATTATTTTCCATATCTATAAAATAGATATCAGAATTTATTGCCTTGCAGAAGAGTTTGCATTATAATTCGCTCACAACTTTCTCATGAGGGAGGTTGAGGTTAGATAGGCATATAGGAAAGATAGCCACATAAATTTTTAATTGACTTAGAATATGTCACCACAGTGACTCGAAAATCTGAAGATCGTACGTTCGCATATAACCAACCGAAAACCATAGGAAAGAGGCTCCAAGCAACAACAAAAATTTAAAAAATAATAATAAACCTTGTTTATTTCATTGAACTGTGAAGAAATTCAGTGAAGTGTAAAAGACAGTATGGTTGGAAATTCAAAGAGTTGTAACGTATCAAGCTATATTAAGAAATAGTTCTTTGTTTCATTAAAAAAAAAACATTTATCTCACACCACAACGAATTCAGTAACGACTTTAAATTACCCGTAGCGGGTTAATAAGAATCTTTCAATAAAATATAGAAAATCCCGTAGCGGGTTAAAATAAACTTACAGAAAAAACGTAAAAAAACCCGTAACGGGTTGGTATAAACTTCAAATTCAAAAACCCTTCTAAAAAACAACGACTTTCTGATGTTCCATATTTATCGCCTGCTTTTTTTTATTTTTTTATTTATCTCTTTATGTGTTTAACTTATTTTATTCATGCTTTTGCTAGCCGCTATTTTTTTAATATTTCTTCTTTTATTCATGCTTTTGCCAGCCAATTTTTTCAAAATATTTTTAAACTTTATAGCGTCATATGGGGCATAAATGAGGTGTGGCATTAAAGTCTGATTTTCCATTCTTGTTAACAATTCGCGATCGCAACGCTCGAGTACGCCGTCTAGCGGGAGCCTGTAAATATCAGACATTAATTTATCACGTTTTCATTTAGTTCCATCAAAGTCATTGACTGAATCAGACGCCATTTTTTAGCAGCAAATAAGAAACAAAATTTCCCTAAGGAAAAGGCCGAAGAACTTGAAAAAAATCTCCAGAATATTAGTAAATCTTTCAGGAACAGAACACGCCAAACATTTGAAGAAAAATTCCTCAATAATTTTTAATTTCTATTATCAACAAACTTGCAACTGATGACTTCCGATTTCGGATACTGTTACAGATGTGTGTATTAAGGTAAAATGCATTTCTTCTGTCTTCAATTCATTACGAATTAAAGTGAAGTCAACATTGCTTTCGTCATTCCAGTGAATAAATATGAATTCAGAACATACAGAATTGTAATAGTTATAGCATATTCTTCTTCGTTATAGAATAGTATATATTTCTGTATCCATATAATTCGGAAAACAACAATAAAAAATTATCCAAGTTACTTGAAATAGTGCCATTTGTGCTGATTCTTAATTAATTTTAATCGTTTTCTTGGTAAGTATTTTTTAGTTTTGAAAGAATAAGTTCAACTAGAATTCAGCTATTCTGTTTTTAGCTACATATTCAAATTCATATCAATTATAAAATTTTGCTGTGTAGTATGTTATCTAAAAGTAATGAAGGTATAAACTATGTATCTATTATTTGAGAATAAAGTTTTCAAACAAGGAACTTATCATTTTGGAATTCTCCGGGAATCATAAATCAGGTAAGTGCAATGATTTTTACAATAAAAAATTTGCTTGTAAATATTTTTTTTTCATTTGATGATGGTTCTCTACAGAATGGTTTTTTACGTCTGATTAAGAACTATAAGAATAATAAAAAAAGAAACAATATGAAAGTTTTTATTTCAATGTTAAGAATTCTTAAAATCGTTTTTTTTATCCTAAGAATTCTTTATTTTCCGTTTTTTAGTTTATAATTTTTTGATAAAAATTGTTCTCAAAATACTTTTTTTGAAAAATTAAATGGTATAACATTATGTGTTTATGTATACTTCTTGTATATTCCAATGTTTGAAGTAATATGATTCAGAAAAGTATGGAATAAAAATTCGGTACTTACGTATTAACGCCACCGCCGCTACAGATTTGGCGGTTTTTAAGTGCCGCCAATCTACACTTAAAATTTTTGCGACAATTCATAAAATAAAACACTTTATTTAAAATCAAAATAGTCAATCGGATTTCGGTGGAAAATGAGCCGATATAGAGTTTAGCATAGATTCAAAACAATCATATCGCCATATGAACTCTGATAAATAAGATTCCAAATGAAATAACATTTCCAAAACGTACGTTTACCAAGATAAAGTTTTATGTTGTGGGAATTGGTACATTTTCGTTTTTTCGGTAAAATATTTCCCTCCTGAAAAAATAAAATTGCATCTTGTTTTGTTTTTGGCAAATCCCAAAGACGAATTTTCGTAGCACTAAAAATGGCGACAAAAAAGAATTGTTTTTTTTTTTTTGTTTCGTCAGCATTCTTTATTTTACGTTTCTTAGTTTCTAAATAATGATTTTTATTGAAACTTGAAATTTTTTGATAAAAATTGTTGTCAAAAAACTTTGTTTACAAAATTAAATTTCATAAAATTATGAGGCTTATGTATACTTTTTGTTCATTTTAATTTTTGAAGTAATATGATTCTTAAAACTATAGAATGTAAAGTTTAAATGGGCCTTTCATGTTATATCATTAAATTTAGTAATACTATTTCTCGGGCATTAGGTTTTAACTCTTATAAGAATATACATATTTTTTTCTGTTAATGTACAAATATTTTTCCGATGTGTTTTGGATATTCCTTCTCTAATAAAAAGAGATACCATTTTGTTTTCGGTTGTACAAGAAAGAAGATCAAGCATTTTTCTTTTTTAAATTTAATAAGCCACATTAAAGAAGGAACGTTGCAATGCTACACGCTA